CTTTTAAAGCACGACAGCACTTTAAGGTTTCTCAAAATATTTCTATACAGGACATTTTGGCATTTAAATATACTGTAAACAAAGTTGGGATAATAATCACCCCTTTGTCACTATAAGGGCTTGCCTCTGTTTCACTAGAATCAATGGGAATTTTGCCATTAACTTCAGTAGGTAAAGAAACAAAACCTCTATTATATTTGATCTTACTGAATCATACTTAGGCCATTATTTCACTTCCCTGATGTGAGGAAGTATGGAAGTTTTATCTTTTTATTAAAGCAAATACCAAAGTAAAGGGCCAAATCCAATGACTTAACTGGGATTGCTTGGAGTATAAATCAGCAGGATCCAGTCCAAAGTTAGCAGTCATTTGCATCAAATTAGTCTTTGATGTTATAACAAATAAATAAATATGATTTATTCTGTTTTGAATACCTGTAGTAATTTCTGCTTAATTCATTCCAAAATATTCAGTTTCCTCATTTACCAATTTTCATCTTAAACCATTTAAAACAGCGTGCAGCTGTCTTATTAACTGTAGAATTTAGGTGATATTGCTTTGTAGTGTCACAGTTCTCTTAACTATTTCACTAAGAAAATGGCTTTTAAATCTTCTTCTCAGGAACACTGATCCCTTATATTCTAAATAATTCTCACAAAATAGTAATGAATGGAGGAAAATTACGTATATATTTATATATATTTACTGTATATAAACACTGAATAATACAGTTTAAAACTTTTGCCCTTAGAAATTTTTCTAGCAAATGCATAGTTTGTTACAAAAGTCTTCCAGTCAAATGACTGTATTACTGCTACTTTTACTATGTCACATTCCTATTAAGTTCTATGGTTACATTCATAGGATGAAAAGTGTACTGCACTCAGAAATATGCTCGTTAACTTGAGCACCCAGTAAAACTCTCCCAACCATTGCAGAACTATACCTCTCTTAATTCAGGTTCTCTATGTGCAAAATAATTAACTCATTACAATGATATTCCACGTTACAGAAGGGCTTGATCCTTCTTAAGCCTTTTAAGTCATGGAAGGGTCATGGTTGTACAAAGGCCAAACAGTTCACTGAGGCCTACATTTTCAAAAAAGAGTAGCATGTTTGGTGTTTCAGCTTTTCTCTCTCAACACGAGACTCCTGCCTTATGCACCTGATAGCATGGGAAGAACAACAGGGATGATCAGAAGCTTGAGACCTGTTGTAAAAAAGGCTGGATCTTTAGGGGGTGGGTACTCAGCCTTTTAAGTACCCGTTAAAGGTGTCCCAGGATGGGCTCTCAAAAATGAAAGCCTCCCCAAATTGCTAATTACTTTTGAAAATGTAGACCAGGAATATTAAAGACATGGCTCACGGACTGGATCCAGCCAGCAGAGCCCCATGATCCAGTCCAAGGTACTGCCTGTGGGTCTTCAACCAGCCATGTGTGCCACGTACAGCCCTGGCCCCACACGCTGCGAGTGGCACTCAGGAGTCTGTTTGGTGCATACTGCATGTAGGCTGGATCTGGTATGCACGCTACACAGAGTGTATAGGGCTGGTCCGGGGCACACCCCACGTGGTACCTGCGTCAGATGGCTTTGCCTGCTGGCTCTAGCGTGTGGGGCTGGTCTGTGGGCCTGATCCTGCCCATGAATTGGCCTCACCTCCCTCAACTGGCCAGCAGGGCTGAGTCTGATACTCTGATGTAGGTCTTTAATTCTTTTAAGTTCTAAATTTCACTCCTCACCTCGTTCCATAGCAAAGAACTGATGTAGGTACCACTGTAAAGTGAGCTGGGGGAATGAGAGCACTTGCCAACAACATCTCTGATGCTCCTGCCCTTCCACAGGAGCTTTATTTCAAATAAATAACTCACTGATCATCAATTGGTTCCTGGATTCAGGCTCTGGGCTAAAATCAATAACCAAACTTTCCTCTACATTCACAAGTGTAACCTGTCAGTGTATCCCCCTTCCACCTGTTGTGTTCCTCTCACCTAGAGCTGTTCAAATGGCAGCCATACCGCATGTCCTGCAAGTGGCCCACAGGGATTGTTGCCATGGCTGTCAGAGCTGCTGAGTTGGCGCGGCTGCAGAACCCAGGGGGTGAACGCCATTGCTGCATGCTTCCCACTTTGACTGCTGCCAAATTTGGGGTCTTCAGTCATCCTTGGCAACTAGAGTCAGCAGCTGAGGAAAAGAGGGTGCAAGGGGCACCCCTTGGGTTCTGGAGCCACACCAATGCAGCAGCCATAGCAGCTGCACTGAATAGCCACCACCCTGATTCTGTCCAGCCTGCAAGAAGTACCATGGTTTGGATCCAGCCTGTGGAGCCAAATGAGTTTGGATGCCCCTGCTCTAACTTTTGATTCCTGGTTTGCTTTGGGAGTGGAACAAAAAATAACTTTGGGACATGGACTCCTAGAAAGCCTTCCTCAGGCACTACTATGAACTGTTCAACTGAAATAGAACATTTTTTCTAGTTTAGCATTTGAATAGGTTGAAGTATTTTTGGCCCAGTAACACAGCCTTTAAAATAATCTTCTTTCCTCATGCCCGTATTAGTAATATAGTCTTTGTACTACTCTTCAAGTGTAATGATGTAATGAAAGGGTTCATCCTGGGAGCCCTGAATAGATGGAGCTATTGTTGACCTCAGTGGTAGTTCCATGCAAGAAAGCTTTGTAGAGCAGGGTCTTAGTGTAACGATAACATGTATGACACCAGTACTGCAGAGCTACCTCTAGTCCTTGCATTAATAATTATGCAATTTAAATGATTTTCCCCACACACGAAACTTCACGTGTCTGGCTCCTTGCTTTAAATCCTGAGTGCTCTTTACCATGTAGGAGGATCAGGTTTGATTTTTAGTCCTGGCCTATTACTCTGTGGCTAGCAGGAGCTGACCACAGTGCAGAGATAGTGTACACAGCCCTTGGGGGCAAGGTGAACCTTGCATTATTCAAGAGAAAGCCCTTCTGGGGTAGACACAGGAAATGGGAAGTCCTTGAAGCTTATTCAGGACTGTGAAGATCTGCCTCTAAGGAATACAACTGCATTGAGCTTTTCCTTTCCGTACTTCAGCTGGAGCTTAGCCTCAAAAGCAGAGAGCCATTATGAGGAGGGGACACCAAGACAAGGACCTGTCCCATCCACATCAGCTGACAATACATTTTTCATCTTGCTTTAGCTAGAAAGTTTGCATCAATCACAAACTATGTTCTTCAAGTACAGTGGAACCCTCTGTCAATGAGGTCATTTTTTAAACATAACTTCCATTTCTAAAGGAGTTTCTTTATAGCAGATCTCACTATAAGCAGCTGCAAGTGTTGCCAACTTTGGCTACCCTCAATGAGACTGAACCTGTATGGTACCTCCCTTTTCTTAATATATGCAGTTTGTAATGGAAGTGATAAAAATATCAATGTGTTTTTCTATGCAGGGAATCACTAATGCATGTAGAATCACAGTTTAAACAGCTGTGAACCAGCTTGTACAGTAAAAATACAACCATAGCACCATATTTACAAATTTAGTCCCATCTGCTGGTTAGCTCTCAGATCTCAATCTATCTTTTTATGGCTGATTAGATTACACTGTAGTGCTTTCAAAAATTGCCTGAATATCCTTTACAAATATACAGTTATAAAAAGAAATGTTATCAAAACTGTTGTCGTTTGAGACAGCAACCTGTGTTATAAAAGTTAATAAAACACTATTGAGCTACAGATAAAAAATGCTTCAAATTTACACTTTCCTTTTTCATAGGCACTCTATAAACTAGAATGTGGCCTTGTTTCACAGCTATTAGTTTAAGCATTTCCTTATCTAGTTGGATGTTAGCAAATTGCAGATATTTTTAAGATACAAGCAAAAAAGAAAAAGAATTTCCCATTGACCAGAAGCATCATTTACAGTTTTCACTTTTGCCTACTTTATACACATTCTGTTTAAAAGTCATATTGTTCTGATATCAGGAATTATTTTAACGTTATCCCAGTGCCTTCTTGGGGCTTAGCTCCTTCTTCCCCAGAATTCGGTGCAGGCTAGCTGACATGAAGTAGGGTTTTGCTGTGGATCCATCATTTCTTTCCAGATCTTCACCTGAATTTGCATGAGCAATAGCAGCCAAAGCAGCAAGCAGCAACACAATCAAACACGCACACACAAATAAAATTAAAACAAAAAAAAAGATGGACAATTGAACAGGAGAGAAAGCAGAAGAACCAGTATTAGAAAATCTGATACAAGACGATTTAGCTGCATTGTTAAGTGGCTGGGGAACATTAAGAAAGTCCCATTTTCTCCGAGTCAGAAGAGGTTTTACACAAAACAGACAAAAACCAATGAAAGGCTATGCTGACATTTTGAAATTATGCCTGTTTATTGCCAGTTCTCTTCTTAGGCCAGAAGTCTGAAATTTTTAGAAAGGTCCAAGCACTCACAAGGATGGCCAGATTTTGGGTGCTTTGCTCTAGAACAGGGGTGTCAAACTCACTTGGAGACCTGGGCTGGATCCAGACTGCAGGGTTCTTCACAGGCCGGATCTAGTCTGGGGCACAGTGGTGGTCACAGTGGCTGCTGCAGCTGGTTAGCCTATGGTGTATCCAGCTGTAGCACGGGGTCTGGAGATGGGGGTCTGGCAGCGTGGACAGCATTGCCAGCAGGGCCAAAGGGTCCTACATTCTGCATCAACCCATGCTCCCCCAACTTCCAGTAGTCTGCTCTCAGCCTTTAGATAGAGAGGCTCCATGGGCCAGATCTGGGCCATGGGTGGCAAGTCTGACACCCCTGCTCTAGAAAATCTAGCTAGGAAGGGTCACAAAGGAAACTGTTGGTTTTTGAACACTTGAAAATCTAGCTCTTATTTAGGTCCCTAAATAGAAGCAAGGCTCTGTTGAAAGTACAGTCCTGGGGGTGATCAAGGTTTTACTATAATATACCATGTTATGATGTCCTGTAGTATGCAGTTGTACACTGGATGGGAGGTAAAGTGGGAATATATGTTTTGGCAACATGCAAACATAGTCCAGAGAACAAGAGCCACACTGATGGTAAGAGCACTTACAGAAAGGATAGAGTGGGGACTGGCCACTTCAGCTCTGCTCCACTGAGGGGATGACAGCTAAGTCAGCAAAGCTAAAAAATGAGTAGCAATGACAGAGGGGAAATGGCCCCAGCTACTGATGCATCCTTTTGATAGAAGGATATGGAGGGAGCTCCAAAGAGGTTGCATGGCCTGTTACAGAGCAAATGCCCTCTCAAAGGCTAGAGGGTATGAACAAGGTATGGGACATATGCTATGGCAAACTTCCACAAAGGAAAAACCTCAAAACCTCTTCTCTTGTTTGGATCCAGTTCTCAGGTTGTAGTAGGAAAGCCAAATTATGGCTATAATGGGTTTTACATGAAGATGACAGCGCAGGGAAGAAGTCACATGCCACCACCCCTTCCATTATACAACCAGTTTCCCCATAAGGCTCATGCATGTTACTGAAAATTACACTTTGGTTAAATGTCTCCTCTTACTTCAAAGGAAATTAAACCCACTGATATCAAGAAACAGGACTGGACTCTGGCAGCTAGACTGACCTTTAGGTTCTACTGTGTGTAAGGGGTGGCACAGATACATGTCACCCCAAAGGAGTGCCATGATCCTGAAGGCTTGTCTTCACAAGGAGTTGGTCCAGCTGAAATGTAAAGGCTCCCCTTGTGCTACTTTCTGTTGTATATTCAATAGCTAGTGTAGTTGAGCATAGCCTTTTCCCACTTCAGTTCATTTCTTGCAATACTATTAGCCTTCTGTCTGGCAGTGCTTTATCTTTCTTAAATAGTACATGTTAAGATAAATCAGATGCAGCCTTACTCGAGACTTGAATTTTCATTTCTAATATATCATGCATGTTGACATAATTCTTACCAAGAAAAGGCAGGACCTTTTACTTTTGATTATGTATTAATTCCTCCTTTAAAAATACCATAGATTCAAATTTTAAAATATCCTCTCAAGCTGGCTCCCATAGCAATCTATGTATGCAAAAACCAACCCAATGTCAAGGTCAAAATAGGAGAGTCAAAGAAGATGAAGGACAACATATAAAATCACCACCAATTTTGAAACAAGGAAATCTACTGGGCAAATAATTAAAATTCTTCAGCTGAACTGAACAGGTGTCCATACAATGTCTTAAATAACAGCCATATTGCCTTACCTCAGTCTTGCAGAATCCCACTCATCCAGCAAGAGTGGGGAGATTTACTGGGTGAGCTTAACCAGTGCCAACAGCTACTACATAACACAATCTTGCCTTTAAAAAGTAGCCTTCTTAGCCTTTATGCCTGTGTAAAAACCCTGTCAAACAAACTGATGCTATAGCTGCTGAGTTGTATGACAGGAGTAGCTCATCTTATATTGTCAGATCGTATAGGGGGTCCTGCACTAACTGTCTCTAAAATAAGCCCCAGAGCAAGTAGAGAGGAAAAACACTGACTTTGGTAGAAGCAAAGAATTGGTGAGTGTAAGGCAGATGATGACTGAATGGTGGGATAGTTGTGGGGCAGTGAGTTTCTGGCAAGGTTAGGCTAATAATAGATATTTTTTATTGGGACTGGGAACTCTCTTCAGAATTTTTCATGGTTGCTACAAGTAAAATCTGATTTCTCTCTCCTAATACTTCAGAATTCATCTGCTTCCACTGCTTACTCCTACCTGAAGTCATCATAAGCCTCCACTTGTGACACACAAGCATTTCCACTATGTCCAGCTGCAGTGCCATAAATAGGATTAGGCCTTCAAGTAAAGAATCAGGAGATAAGCCAAGGGAATGTTAAAACTACAAACATGTTTTTTATGCAACTACGTTACTGTCTTAGTTATAAAGGATAAGGGAAGTTAAATAAAGAAACCAGAGCACTTCACTGTAATATAGGCAAAATCATTTCAAAATGCAGGCTTATAATAAAGCATAAGGGAAAGGAAATGCATTGAGTATGCTGGGTGTGTTTTCCAAAAGTGCAGTTATTAGCTTCGCTCTGCTCCTACTGGTGTTGCCTTCAGTACAGTGAAAACTGGATTTCAATGGGAAGAGTCAGCTCAACGCTGGGTGTTTCTGAAAAACCCGCTCTCCAAGTTTTGCTTCCTTTATTCCCAACTACTAGGAACCAACCTGTTCCTATCCGTGGCATAGTGATGAATAAAAGCTGAGGGCCTAAATTTCAAAGATGCTCAGAACCTCAGAAAAATCAGGTCCTTTGAGTGTATGGCCACTAACAAGAATCCCGTAGCTTTGTGAAGAGTCAAGGGAAAATAAATCCCAGTTTTTAGATGTGACCTAACCTGGCCTGTAACTTGACTAACTTGACAGAGGAGATGTTCAGAAAAAGTTTGATATTTATTTGATGTCCCTCCTTGGCATCCCACTGTGCTTGTACAGAGCCACTGGTGTTCTGGCCTCTTCCAAGGGACAGGGGGCTCCAGGGATAGGGACAGAAGTTACGCATAAACTGGTTTAAATAATCAGAAACTGGTTTAAACCTGTAACAGAACAGAAGCTCAGTACACATAAACCATTTTCAAAATGGCTGAAATGGGTTTAAGATAAACCTGGTTGAATGTAGTATCAGGCTTAACTGATTTAGGTCAAACCAGTTTATGAAACTTCAGTCCCAGACCCCTACCAGGTAAAGTTATTCAAGTTAAATCAGTCCCCCAGCATCCCAGCATGTTTTGCACCCTGGGGCTAGGCTGTGCTGTCTGCTCCAACAGACAAGGAGTGGGGGTGGGGGGGAGGAGAGGCAGGGCCACCCTTCCCCCCACCAGGCAAACTATGGCTGTGGTCTGAGACCAGGGAGGAGGGTTAAACCCACCTTCTCCCAAGCGCAGAGCTGCACTGCTGCTAGATGTACTGAAACTTACTGCTGGTTGTGACTGTGGACTACAAATCCCAGAGGTACGTGGAAGCAGGAAGAGGAAGTGATGAGCAGCACTGCAGAGTCCTGCTGCTGTGATTCTGGACTGCAAATCTGAGCTACCTTGTGGGGAGCAGGAAGAGGAAGCAAACACACAGCCCATGCTGGCTATGTGTCAGACAGGCATGCTTTAGCGTGCCCAGTTGTTTCCAAATTTAATCTCTGCAGCTTAAACTAACCTGCAAAGACTGAATTAATTCAGCCTTGGGCTTTCTGACTGTCTGTACTTAGCCCAGGAGACATAGTCTGCACATGGGACCCGATTTGCTTTCTAAAAATGGGAGGACTCCAATAACTTTAGAGTAGTTACAGAGAATGTTCCTAGTGCCAGGGGGAATCAGGCTCAGACTGCTCAGCTGGCCTTAGCACTAGCCTGTATATTTCAGTGCACTGTGCAGCCTTTACTAATAGGACTAGTAGTTTAATTAGCATAGTCAGATGATGCAGCCAGATGCACTGATGACCAAGTGTTGCAGGGCACTAAGGTGCCTGCTCCTTTAAGGGCAGAAATTGCCTAGAGAGGGTCCTGGGAACCAGGCAGAACCCCCATAAGTACAGATTGCTGTGGCAGCAAGCTAATGAGGGAATTAGCCTGCACCTGGTCAGCTGAGCAGAAGGCGGCAGGGCTCTGGGTACATATAAGCCCCAGGGCTGAGACTGGAGGTAGTTAGTGCTCTGGCAGCAGCTAGTTGGGGAAGGAGTTTGTGCAGAAAAGCTCTGCGGAGTTGATGGGTTGCCTATTCTGCTGCTCAAGTAAGACGAATGGGCTCTAGGAGCAACTAAAGTGCCTGGGGATAGGAGACACATTTCTGAGGGAGAAACTGGCCCTCTTAAAGGCCCAGAGTGTGACCTCCAGTGTCGTTGTTATTGTTATTATTAGGTTGTAGCCCAGGGGCTCATATTTATGTTTGTTTAATCTGGTGGACCGGACTAAGGTTATTAGGGAGGAGGAAGCTTCATTGGGGCACACTACAGTGCGGAGAGAGCCCAGTGCCAGAGGGGGGTATGCAGATGGGCCAAGGGCCCAGTGATGGCAGGAGGCCAAGCTAACCTAAGGCCTCAGACACAAAATTTGAATACCATCTGCAAGGCATGGGGCATGGTAAAGGCGCAGTTTGGGAGCCACGTATATAGCCCATAAGGCTTGGGGTGTCCCGTGAGGCACTTACGTAGAGCGGGACCCAGCAAGGGGTCTAAGAACCCACAGCATTTAGTGGGGTCCACCAGGACTGTGACTGCGTAGCAACTTGAGGGCAGCCTCCCTATCTACTATTTATTATCTTGACCACCAGGATGTGGCAGGTGAGACTTGAAGGCACCCCCAGGGTGAACCTGGCATGGTCACAGGGCTTTAGGGACATTACAGCTGTCTCTAGGGACCCCGCCCCATCATACCAAGGTCATGTCCATCTGCCATGACCTGCCAGGACCACTTTCATTACAGTAGAATCAAACCTTCACTTTTTAAATTTCATTAAGGCTGGCAAATGGAATGAGTTCCCTGCAACAAGCAGGTCTTGTTATAATCAGAGTCTCAATTGAGACCAGTTGATTTCTCTTGTGATTTGAGCATTCTCTGAATGGAAAAGCATCAAATATGCCCTTTAGTCCCAGTTTATTATTGGCAGTGACAGCTTGTTATGGGGTGCAAGGGATCGATCATTTTTTAAATGGTGTTTAAATTAACATGAAGTCAGCATGAAGCTTTTGTCTTGGTTTTTAGTATGAAACCAGAAGGACAGCAAAATTATCAGCAACATAAAGCATCTGCTAGAGAACACCTGAGTACAAAGCCTGTTGTTATTAGTAAGATGTCTGTCTGAATGGTCACTGGAAAGGTCTTGTTAAAAAGCATCCAGAAGCAACCGGTTAGTATGAATTAGGACATATTTTGAAAACAAAAAGCCAGATATCTTGATGAACCACAGTCAGTAGCTGGGCTAAGGAAAGCATCTCTCTTTAAGGAACTTTGCTTTCTTCTCTATGAACAGCAAGAACAATATTTTATTCGTACCATATGCTATCACATCATCTCAGTTCTGGAAGGAAGTGGCAAAGTTATTCTTTACCTGCAGATAATCAAAAAGGAACAAAGAAAGAGGACTCAATACTTACAAAAGCAGAGAAAAAGTGTATCAACACACATTGCATAGACGCTGAAGAACCCATGCGCAACTAGGTAAGAACCAATAATGACAGTCTGAAAGAAAAAAAAAGAAAAAGAAATCAAACACATTCGCTTCATGCCATAGTGGCCGTAACCTGTTCAACATATGGGAACAATTTCACTTGCAGTTCTGTGAGTAAAGAGGTAGTTAGCCATGTTAGACTTCATAGTCTGAAGTCAGGCAGAAGGTAGGGCAGGACACATAAGGGCACGTATACCTGAGTATAGCGGCTACTCCAACGTGCTGGAATTCCAGCAATTACTGTGCTCCAGCAACCTCCTGTGTCTCGTGTATCAGCATCCCCATGCTTCAAAGTGGTGGTGGGGCACTTGAACTAAAGCTCATTGAACTTCAGTTCAAGTGCCCCCGCTGCTATTTTGAAGTTCAGGGACGTTTATACATGAGACACAGTGGTGCTTTAATTAGAGCGGCTCTTGAAGCCACTGTAATTAATGTGCTGCCCTCCCAGAGCACGTGTAAAAGTGCCCTAAGAGACTATTTAGTCTCCTGTTCCCCTCTAAGGTAGTGTCCTACTTTCTGTTTGACTTGAAATTGTATAATTCTATAGCAGTCTTTCTTCTATGAAAAAGCATCACAAGTTCAAGTTATTGCATGCTGACATATAGCTGACACTAGTTTTTAAGCTGGTCATATTGACCTCAATGCTTGAAAAACCACAGATGGACTAGGAAATTTAGTTTCAGTTCATTGAGTTCTTTCACTTTGTCCCTTCAGGAAAGATGGCCCACTAAGCTTCAAGATATCCAAGAATCTATGAGGGGGAGAGCATTTATGCAAAATCCAGCTGCTCTCTTATTACTCCATAGGGCTCTTCCATTAGGAGATATGCTATCACTGGCTGCCTACCCCAGGTGCTGGCTATGGAGGCTTATGAAGATCTGGCATAGAAGCTAACTTTTTTGTGGTATCCCTCCAGACACACTGTACCATTTCAGTACAAACTTCCTGAAAGGATGGAGCATGGCCAATCTGTCCCGTCACAGGAATGGATACCATTCCCAAGAAAACAGTGGTGGAGCTACTGCTCCTCAGGAACTCTACCTGTCTCAGATGTACCCCTCCTCATTTCCTGAGTGTTCAAAGAATAAAAACATTATCCTTACCAACAAGGGAACCCAGTAGTAATTTAAAGTTGGTGCTTCTTGTGTGAATACTTGTATTCTGTGTGTGAAGAAAAAGAAAGCTAGAACACCTGCAAGAAATAAAGAAATAGTTATTCACAAAGTAGTTAGTCACAACTCATAAAGAGCTGATAGCACACATAAGTTTAGTTTATGGGGAAGTTTCTGAGCAATAAATCTCTAGATACTAATTATTTCCCATATCTGTATTCTGACAAGAACAGAAATGCAAATTAATTATTATAAAGATATCCATGAGGCCAGAAAGACATGAATTAATTGCTTTGTTTCATGATTTAGACTGGGCTTTATATTAAACCTAATAAACAAGACTATACAAGACAATAAACTGTGAAGTAATAAAAAAATTGCTGGATTGATCATTCAAAAAAGCTAAGCTAGCAAAAGTCTGCTGCTTTAGTTTTCATCTTTTGGAGAAATATTCAACCATTGTGGATTAAAAATAGAAATGGCATGGTTAGTGATAAACACACTTAATGATAAATCTAGAGCTAGAGATATTAATTCATGATTATATCTATGCTAAGCAGAACAGGAAAGGCATGTTAATGAATTAGCCTAAAGAATTTATCCTTAAGGAGGAAGACATGAATCAATTTCAGTATTTCATGCTTCGCATTTCAGACAGCTTCCAATCACATCTGCCTTCCCAGCTTGAAAGTCATTCTATAGTAATAATAAAATATTAAAGATTTGGTCTCAGTTCTAATTTTTATCTTAAAACTTACAGTAAGAATACATATATAATATTTTTTAATACAAAAAGTATAAAAGATGGGGATCAGCAAAATGATGTTTTGAAACTACTGTGACAGTTTTAAAAAAGCCTTCAGGGGACACTGTTGGCTTGAATTTTTTAAAAGGACTTCCTTTAAAAAAAATTCAATTTTCTGCTGTAACAAAATATAAATAGCACATCCTGACTTTAATGGTAAAGGAAAAGAATTTTTAGAAAAGTTAGAAATGTTTTGTCTTCTGCAATTGTGGACAGCAGGGTCTTTGGGACAGGCTTGAGTGTAACATCACAAAAGTGCCACCTTTCCTCTCTCCCTATTTCCCCTTGTCTCGGTGCACACGCCTACAGTTCAGTCTCAATTATAGATCTGCTGCTGTTGCCATTGACGTACACCACCTTACAGGGCCTGGGAAATGTTGGCATAAAGTTGGCATTTAAAGGTTTGGGTTTTTTGGGAATTGGCTTGTAGGTATAGATATATGTATTATAAGGGGTCAACAGGGGCAGCAGAAGTAAAATGATCTTTAAACAGCTTGTGTCTCAAAGTCACACAGGGTTCCCAGCCTCCAGAAGCAGACAGAGTGTTTAACCCAGGCACGAAAACAGCAAGCCACACATCCTGGGTAACTGGAAACATCCAAACTTTATTTTCTTAATAGATAGGCCTGGCTTCAGGGCAGTAGTGCCCGCTTGCAAAAAGCCTTAAGCTTTCCAGTTTTGGTGAAAGAAACAAAATTAGGAGAACACTGGTAAAGCTCCAAATTAGGAGGTGGGCATGTGATAGGTTTGTGAAAATGGGGTTTTGGCTGACAACATGGGAGGTGTTGCTGTGTGACCAACCAGTGACAACCACAGATCAAGAGTCATCAGAAGTCACCAGGAGAAGAAAGAATACAAAAGAAGAAGTTTTAGAAACAGAAGGAGAAGCAGTTTGCATCAGGCCCCAACCTCCAAGGCTGCTGACAGTGGACACTTAAGCAAAGGACCTCAAGGTGGCATTTACGTACCGGACGGACAGACCACTCACTACAAATTCCCTTGTGTATATTCTGGGACTGGGGAATTTGGGTAATGTATACTGCAATTGCTTTGCCTGCATTGCTTTCATTTCCTATAACTATATATCAATAAACTCGCTTATTATCAACTGCCAAGTGTTATGGTCGATCTGAGGGTTGCACTTGCCCAGAACAAAAGGTACAGGGGCTGGGTCAAATCCAGTGCCAACAGGAAGAGGAAAGCACCTGTAACCTAGTAACTGATACAGATTCTCTTTCTGTGTTCAACCATCAAAGACAGTCAGTTACAGACTGAGAGAGCTTTATTTCATGCTTTAGGAACCCATCCTTTTATTGGTGGAAATCCCTGTTTCAAGCCTTGTGTGCTATCAGAACAGATGGTTGCCATCAGAAGATGGTACCACCAACAAGATGGTGGCCATCAGAAGAGATGGTTGTTATCATGCACTCCATACAGGACAGTGAAACTGACCCTACCGATAGTGCTGTCAAATGCACAAAGAACCATGTAAAAGGAGGGGAAATATGTCCCTTGGACCAAATCCAGCAATTCGTTACTCATGTATGTAGGTCCTGTAAGTAAGTAATAGCAAAGTGTGTGAGATCAGGATGTTGTAGTGCTGTCTGGACATACACAAGTTTGGCACGTATTAGGATACCTGAGAACAAGAACCAACACGACACTGAAATAACCGAGTGGCTTACCTACACCACCAGCAACGAGAATTTTCCCCAGGAACAATAAGAAGTCTGTAACTTTGTCCAGCACGGCAACTCTGTTTAAAAGAGGACAAATGGCATTTAAGCACCTCAAAATGGAATAGTTCCATTCTATTGTATGAAATCCACTGAATGTTGGGAAACTGGCTCGGGAAGTTCATTGTCTTGCACTGCTTCTTTGACCAACAAAAAGAACAGTCAACATGGAGACGATACATGCAGGAGGGTCACTAGTAGAATGTTATTACTAAGCGATCAACCAGGACAAGGAATACAATAGAAGGCAAAGGCATTCAGCACCTTGCTGAAATAAGTCCCACTCTGACAAAGCTGCTGACAGCCTGTGAAAGCTACTTATTAGATGTAACTCCTGCTGCTAATGAAACCTTCCTGTATTTATTTATTTAAGCCTTTTCTTCATATCATGGGAAGACCCAGGCCAGCTCTAGCTGGAGGTAAACTGGAACCCAAAATTCAGAATACCCATTAGTTGCCGAATATTAGGAGACTGTCTTTCTCCTTCACTAACCATATTCTCTGTGGTCCCAGAGTGCACTGAAACTACAAAGATACATTGAGCTGTCTCAGCACAGCTGAGGGGGAACAGATGGGGGACCCTCAAAGCAGAGAGATAGCCCCAGAAGAATAAATGCAACTGAACAGAAAAAACTGACAGTTAAGGCTCTGTTTCCACTACAGAGATGCTCCTGCAATAGCTGTGCCAGCATTGCTCTGTCAGCAGAGTCTGCTAGTGAAGACACAATGTAAGACACAGCTGGTGCATCTATACATGCTATTAATATGTAGCAATAAACTCCAGCGCATGCTGCACCAGAGTTTATTGTTGCTGGGCACCACATTTGAACTTGTACCTGGGACTTCAGCATGTTGAGCCAGGTTGGAGCAGCCCCAGCTGGCAGGGGCCCCCGGAGGTGCTGTGGAGGGGCTGGCTGGGGCATGAAGGTGCTACAGTGTAGGGCTAGCCAGCAGGCAGCCCCCATACTGAAGCACCCTCATGACCCAGCCTGCCCCTTCAGTATCTACATGTGCGGTGCATGTCAAAAACTCTGCTGCAAAATAGTACTTGCATTTACAAGTACTAACTTGCAGCAGACTTAATTCGTTTCCTGAGGCCTAATAGCACTGTATGTGTAGACACTGAGACATTTACTGTGGAGCTAATTAGTCAGCTCCTCAGTGAACATGTCATGTAGATGTGCCCAATGCCTATGGCTGGCATAGTCTGGGAACAGATCTGACCTTTCTGCCACCATAAAAATATTTAAGCAGCACAAAGGCCAAGCGAACAGTTTGTCCATGGCATTTGTTGTGCCACAAATGCTCAAAATTGGGGCCATGACATGGGTGGTGTCCCCTTTTTGCAGCAGACATCTATTTACTTTATGGCAGGAGAGTGTGGGTAGCTCAGAGCTGCCTGTGCTGTCCAGCTGCCCCAGGAGTCATTCCAGGGGCTTTAGGGGCCTGATCCCCAATTTGCAGAGGTGTGCCCCAACCTGGGACATGGCAGCACAAAATGTGTGGCTAGGGAATCCCCCACCTTGGGATTCCTGGAGTACACATCTGCAAGCAGGGAACACAGCGTTCCCCCATCTGCAGTTGTCTTGCAGGATTGGGTCCCTGAAGCTGCAGGAACAGCAGGGCCCAACCCCGCAGGACAACAGACACATTCTAGCACAGCTGATGCTGCAAACATTGTCTGTTTTTACCCAGTAGTGGGGGTGAAGCCAGCAAAATCTTGTAATGTCAGCCTGACTTTAACTGGTCCTTGCTCCACAGATGGCTGTCTTGCCCCTAGAGCGCCCCTTAGTCCTTGGCTTCACCACCTCTCAGGTAAAACTCCCCTTCCCTTACCTGCCACACCTTGTTAGTAATAATCTCTAGAAAATGGGAGGCTGCCCCAGGGCTTCCCAAGCTTGATCCTGCCTTAAGGGTTAATTGTGTGGCTCTGTGCACCCCTACACCCCACCATATTGCTTGCAGATGTTATCACTTCCTGATGTTCACTCTCCTGGGCTATTGGCTCCCAGCTTCAGTCCATGCCCCTCTTGGGATACAGGCTCCTTGGCCCTCTCATGTCTCTGGCTGTGCCCCCAAGACTTTGACCTCTCTCTGGGCCCTGGCCCCATCCCTAAGCCAGATAAGATTCCTGGGCTCTCCTGGCCCTGTTCACACTCACCCCTCCTGGGCTACAGACCTCTACGCTCCCTGGCTCTGCAAATGCTAACCCCCTTGGAGCTATAAACCTCTGGTCCCTCTGGCCTCCTGGCCCCTCTCTTCCTTCTGGGCCAACTGGAACCTTCTGGTCCCATCTCAGCCCCTCTCTAGGCTCCTGGACCCCTTACTGGGCCCCTAGGGACCTCTTCCACCACATTGTCCCTTTCCAAACCTTCAGACTGCTGCAGGCTGTACTCTGCACGCTGGCACTCAGGAGCTGCGGCCATTCTGCTTAGGAGACGTTCCTTCAGCAGCCTCCAGGTCCTTACAAGCTCAGGGCCTGGGCTTGTATCCTTCCTAAACCCAACCCCTCCTGAGTCACGTGGCTCCTGATTGCTGTCCTGCCATACCTGCATCCTGCCACAGCTATAGCCTGCCTGCTCTTAACATAGCAGGAGCACCAAGCTTTCTGCTACACTGTCCTATATCTGCATTGCCTAGCCCTCAGTGTGATTAGACTGTAGCAACAGGAAGAAAAGCAAAGCAGGGCAGAGGCTTATTGCAGGCAGCCTCTGACTCCAACCTTGGCAGACTCTCTTCTCACAAATTGCCATAAATAATGGCATGGAAATGAGATTTGCCTGGTGAGAATCTTGGTGAGCCGGGGGCTCTGTATATGGTAATGTATTGTACCAACTACCATGAAAGAGAAATAGTCAACAACCAAATTAAAGAAAACAAACCATCATTAGCTGTCAGAGGTAGGGATTAGAGCTGAAAGTAGAAAATTCCAGTTTAAAACATTAAAGAGATTTTCCTGGCTCCTAGCTATTGCCCTTGCTGATTAAGAACCAGAGCAAGTAGAACAGAAAAGTGAAACTTCTTAAAGGAAACAAAGACCATTGTATCAAGGCTACAAGGTAGGGATGGCCCTGTCCTGTGTTTAATCCTTGATAACAGAAATGGATGCTCTTCCACTTTTGTCTGGGTGTTATTAGCAATGGGCATGGCTACTAACAGATTGGCTAAACCCAGCGGGACATCCTGGAGCCTTTATGTGACAGCTCAATCCTCCCATGCCATCTCTGTCTAGAACCCTTTGATCCTGCCTGCCCCATTCTCCAAGTCTCTCTGCTCTCTTTCACTGTTCCTCTCTCTTCCCCCTCTTCCCTGTCCATGGCCTTTTCTCCATCCTCCCTTCCCCAGAACTAAATAATTTAAACTCCCTAAGCTTCCTCAATGTGCTTCTTGCTAGTAATTAGGCCACCTCCTATTGCTCCAGCACGGCCTGCTCCTAAGGGCTTGTTCTAATCAGCACCCTGTTCCCATTCTTTTTGATCTTCCTGTATTACAGGAAGAGCCAGGAGCAATGAGAAGTGCTGATTGGAAAAAGAAGCTCAGCAGCAGCCCTAGCAATGGAGTGGGGAGCACGGGGGAGGCTTCCAGCATGAGAAGAGATGCCCTATTAAATATTAAAGACTTTGGTTTTAAAAGCAAAACCCTTCGTCCTCCCTGTCACCCTCTAAACCATATCAGGATTTTTAGGCTTAGGTCCAGCTGTTCTTCCTCTTAGAAAATATGAATAGACACACATTGGCGCCATCCACGCTGGGTCCAGATGCTATGCTGATGGACACCCTATAGATAGATACATGTGTAATAAATCACTACAAATTCTCTCAGTTGGTTCCACTGCTTTCTTGTTAGCCCTTTTACAAGGGCCAGGGATACCTAAGCTTCTACAGTGTCAATCATTTAACCCATAGCAAAATTGTGTGTCAGATTAAATCACTCTAGCTTGGACTACAGGATAGCACCAGCAAGCCATACAGCTAGGTAACAGGGACAACAGCATGTAAGCATTGGACCAGTTGGAATTAATCTTCTAGGGGAAAAAGTAACTTTTCAAAACAGTAGCAGGGAAGGTATCAGTCCCAAGGACAAGAGACATAGCTCCTTACCTCACCACATTGCGCATCAGCAGAAAGAATGCTTCCTTTGCCGAAGCACAGAAGTTCTTACCATATATTGCAATCTGCAAAACAGTAACAGTTGTCTGATTAGTTTTTAGCTAATCAAAGACCATTCTCATGGCTTCTGGGGCTCTATGCATGTACAGCCTTATATAATACCCTTATATCTGTGATCAAACTCCCACCCAAGCCCCATGTTACTCTCTACTTCCCCTCAGTCTCCTGCAGGCAGTGTTCTCTCTCTCCCTGGGCGTGTCTATACATGCTTATTGCGCTGGAGTATACTGCTCCCAGGCACGCCATTTGAACATGTGCCTGTGACTGCAGCATGTTAAACCAGAGCACCCTCATGCCCCAGCCAGCCTGTACGCCATCTACATGTACATGGTGTCGCTAAATAGTCTACTGCACAGTAAACATCTCATGTAGACATGCCCCTTCTCTCCAACTTCTCTCTTTGTGAGGCTCTGCAGCCCTGGGTGATCTTTTGGCAGGCAGGAGGTAGACACAAAACCTAACTTTCTAAGTGGAACAGTTCAGGAATCTAGTCTTTGCCCCACTTCACTGGTGCATGACCCAGATGGGATCACAGATGGGTAACTGATGATGACAGGTTAAGGGGAGTATAGCAGGAAGGGAGGGTCCTTTTCAGTTGCATGTATCAAATAGGTGTAAAGCCATTACTGTGATTTATGCAGGAAGTAGGCACAATAAACTCTAAAGGTTTCTTTAAACTAAGAATAAGGCTCAAGATGAGCCTGAACCACACCTAGCTCCAAACATGCCTGACCTTTGGAAAAAATTCAGTCCAGTACTAAACTCTGCAGCTCAGGCCTGTCCTTTCCTCTTTATCATTGTTGTTCTTACTGCACAGCTGGGATGCACTGGACCCGATTCTTATCTCATGTAGGGATAAATCAAGTACCAGAATACTAAGGTCACAGCAATTACATTCACATACAATTACTCCAAAAAGCAAAGCCCTTAATCTGAAATAAAATCACATTTATTTTGGAAGGGATTGGGGGAGTATATACAAGACCAGTTACTCTGGAGTATTATTACTGTCAATTTTTTCAGTATAGACAAGGCCTAGAACAGGAAAATTCACTTCTTTCAAGATTGCAACTATTTCTGAAATTCCTTTCTTTAGTGAATGTGGTGTTAACAGCATCATTGCATTCATTTCTTCTGAGATAACAGGTCTGTGATTGTAAGACACTTAAAATTGTTTCAGGTCAAAACAGCTTGGGCTAAATCCTGCTTGTTTCTAGAAGTGTAAATCTGGAAACTTTCTTCCAAGTCAGTTGGGGTTGTTGTGCAATCAGCTACTGTAATTGAGAGAATTTGTCCTGACAGCTTTGAGGGTAAATACAGATACTAATTGTTTTCAAACGTCCTTCTTAGCAGAACGTTTTAACAAAAATACTACATCAGCAAGGCATGCAGCATGCCTTGGATGTGGTAAAATGGATGTTGAAATCTGTTTGAATTGCAGGTGTGAAGGGAAATTATTATGCCATTTCTGGAGGGGGACAGAGAAGAAATTACCACCTTTGAGGGGCAGGGGCATGTGAATTCCCATCATTAGTATCCAATTCTTTAACTTCTCAATTCAAACAATAAGTGATGATAGCCAAATTTTATCCTAGGGAAATGAAAATTAGTATTAAAGCACAGATGCAAGGGATTTTTATCTGAGGCCCCGAGTGCTGTGCTGCAGTGATGGGGCTATAACATGCAGAAAGGCAAGCTACGCACCATGATATAAGCATTTCTGTTGATGAACTTCAAGAATTTTTCCAAACACCAGAAGCAGCATTTGAGGCAGCAGAGCAGAAATCTTGTGAAGGAATTTTGTGTACCTGCAGAATGAGGAGAGACAGTTTAGGATTTGTCTTGAAAACATGGAAAACTGTGCCCCCAAGGTCCGTCAGAGGTGGAAAAACTCCCCATGTTCTCCCTCCGACAAGTCCAACCCATCACTGGGGTGAGATGTGATGCTCTTTTTCCTTCCAGAATGAATCTAGCCCATCAGCTCTAAATACCATCAGATCCACGTTCTGCATGAGTATAGGCGACCCTCACCATTCGTGGGGGAAACGTTCTTGTATCCCCCACGAATGGCGAAATCTGTGAACAGGGCACTGCATTCATGAACGCAGTGCCCCCGGCGGCTGGGGGGAGTGAGGGGGTGGGGCTTGGCTCCAGTGGCGGTGGCGGGAGCCCAGCAGCAGCAAGTGCAGAGCTCCCGAGGAGCTCCTGTTAAGTGTATAAAGTGTATTTAAAATGCGGATTCAGCATTCACAAATATTTGAAACTGTGGATGTTGAACCCGTGAATAGCAAGGGTTTCCTGTACTATTATTCAACTTTCCATGGCAAAGCAGCTTAGACTTTACTTGGAGCTACAAGAACAGCAGCCCAGGACCTGAGCCTTACATATTTCATATCTGAAGTCTGGGGGAAGGAAGCAAACATTTACCAGAGAATTTAATATTCTGGAGCAGACTATAAATCTCACCTTTCAGTTTGTGGTCCAGGTACTCCAAGATTATTCTAATCAGCTGGACTATTGCAAGAATTAAAGACCCAAATGCCAGTGAACCTGTGTGGTATCTAATACAAAACAATGTAAGGTTACACGGTGTTACAAGAGACAATAGCACTGATGTAACTAAGTCTACCATATTCACAGATTTCACATTCACGAATCTTTTGAGAAAGATGAAACACAACGAAAAATTTGCTGAGGATTTGGATGCTGCTGAAAAACTGTAAAGTGTTGCCTCCACTAATGCTATACAATAACCTCAGGCTAGCTGAACATTTTGCTGCTATATGCTGCCGCCCCTAACCTGAAACCTGTCTATACACAAAACCTCTTAACTGAAGTGTGGTAGTACTTTTCACACAAGTAGTTTGGATTATCAGGGGCTCTAGGTAAAAAATGACCCTCTGTAACTGGATACTTCTAATACAACCACTATAGCCAATTTTGGCAGGGGAGCAATTATTATAGAAAGTAGTTATTTTTATTTTGGAATAATGTATCTACATGGGACAGTTATGCCAGCATAGCTATTGCTTCTAGGTAGCATCAGTTAATTGTCTCCTCTCTGCTGAAGAAGGAAATAATAGATCAAATTATTATTAGAATTATAGTGATTTTATAACGAAGTTTTGTTAAAATCCATGTTTTCCTCTGTTAATTTTCACAAAAGGTTATGCATATGTAAATGAATACAAAGTTTACGTATATACCTGTGCATCTAAGCACTCTGTACACACACACACACACACACACACACACACACAGAGTACACAGTATAAGGGCACATACATTTTTGTGCATGGACCTGGGCCTTCAGTTTCATGAAAACCAGGATCATATCTACACTTATGTGAATATACACCTATCATCCTCTATTTATGTATGTGTAGCTACATGTTTTTACATATAAATATAGTGTCAAACTTATGTTCAGTAATGTGAAAGCCAACATTTCTGCACAAAATTCTGTATTCCCATATGCCACTACTGGGCACAAAACAAAATAACTGTTATTTCTTAGGTGCCCAATGGGTCATTTGTGAGTTGCAATAACAAATTTTCTAGGGCTTCTCTTCTTTTGAAATCCATACACCCAAGATAATTGGAAAATGCAGGTCCTTTAATGACTAGAAAAGCTGAGTCCTTAATAATACCACTCTTTTATACCATAATTCTCATTTGATACTTTAAGTATAATTATATTATTTCTCTATGAGTTATAAGATTTCTATGAGTTACGTATTTAGAAAATACATAAAGGGTACAAATTCTTAACTTTACCGTATTGCTCGTCCGAAGGAAGAAAAGAGTGGCCATGGGGGAATATCAGCAGGTTTTCTAAAAGCCCAGTAGTAGGAGGCAAAGGCACCAGCAAGGGTACACTGACCCAGTGCAATTGCAAAGTTCACCAGCCAAAGAAAGACAAAAGCATTGGCAAGTTGAAAGATGAAGATGTATCTGTGGTACAGGCTTTCTCCCCCATAGAAAGCAAAAGTACACTGAGCACCAGAACACAATTTGGTCACATTGGTTGTGTTAAAAGTCTGTAGAGAAAGAAAATAAATAAAATATTCATAAGTAGTGAACCTTAAACGGCTTAGCACAAATCTCATGTATTCTACCAGAGGTTTCAGTTCTTCATTCAGCATTGCTCACCAAGTGAAGTCTGACTGCACTGAAACGTTTTAAATTAATTTACATAACTAAGAGGGCAATATTTTAAAAAGATAAAAACCCATGCAGGTGCTAAATCTCTGGGTTTGTCAATAGAGCAAACTATTTAAATATGTATATGTTTTTGTATGACTGGGGCCTAGGTAGTCTGAATTTGAATTTCAAAAGATACAGAAACTATTTTGTTTCCTTGCAGGAAAGATGGCCAGGCCAAAAGACATTTTCTTAACACTTGGAGGCCAGACCTCAGTTTGCATAAATCTTCGTAGCTCTATGGAGATCAATGGAGCTACGACATTTTATACCAGCTAACCATCTGGTCACAGATTATTACCCGTCTCAGATTATTAAAACAGTAATAATGTTTAAAACTGAAATGGTTTTTCTTCATTTATGACATTCACTCGCTTCTTTTGTTCAATCTGAACAATGAAGGCAAAATAATCATTTTCTAATCATTTTCTTTTTTGGGTTCTCAGACATCAGCAGAATGCTGTAGTGCTTGGGATATGTGCAATGCATACATTATTTTAAAACATGTTCCATTCAATATTAAAGACCTGGAAATTTTCCTCCTGAGGTTAGATTTTATTAGTACTGATTTTTATTAGAAAAATCAAAAGTTAGAGCCCAATTTCACTTGTCCTGTGTGTCCTTAGAAGCTGAAAAATGTTATGAGTATTTTTAAAATCATCATTGTTGCTAGCCCATGTGATAGGAAACATGATACAGTAGTTAGAATATGTGACTGTAAATTGAGAGATTTGGTATCTATGGTAATCTGGTCTTTTCCATTAATGTGCTATGAATCTTGGGCAAGTCTCTAAGGCCCAAATTTTCAAAACTGGCCATTGATTTGGGGTGCCCATGGTATACAAAAACAGAACTACCAAGAATTACTGGATGGTTTTCAGAAGCTAAGTCCTTGGCTTTGTGTGTGACTTCCACAACCTGTAAAACAGGGCTACTAATACTCATTTACTTCACAGTGGTGTTGTGGGGATTAATTAGCCTATGTTTATAAATTGCTTTGAACACAGGGGCTGTACACGAGAGGCTGATTGCACAGTTGTTACTGCACACTCATTTAGTACTTGTATAAACAAGTTACTGTGCAGTGACATCACTAAACAGCTTTCAGGTCACGCTGGCTGCACAGTACCTTGTTACTAGAACACAATAACTTTGCATCATGCTTTGTGCCATGTGACATTACTGCTCAGTGGTAAAGACCTACTGTACAGTCAGTGTCTCGTGTAGACATGGCTAGGGACTGCTATCTGACAGCAAATATCCTGCAGGTTGAACACAAGCAATGAGTAAAAAGAATTTTAAAAAATACCCGTTTCTTAACTAGTATTGCACATGAACTGAATGGTGATTAATACACGTAAGAGTACCCCCTTTATAACACTTACCTCTGGGTCGCAGGTCAGGTTTGCATACTTGCACAGTGTTTGATTAGCCATTACTTTATACACGGGTTCTCCTGAAGTAGCCAGGAAACTGAATAAATTGCATTAAGGAGGAAACACAAGGCCTCCTCAGTAAAACAAACACACAGAAATAGGGGACCACTACCTTTAAAATTCACATGGACTGCAGAGAGATTTTGTTTTAATGCAGCATCCTATCTGATGCATGAGGCCACCATATAAGCAAGGGTTCCTAGGGCAAAGGTATATGCAAATCTACCCTCAACCTAGAGACCACTGAACAGACTTAAGGAGGGGAGTTGCTACCATTCTTCTCTTAACCCACACTACACACATAGCTCAGCAGAGTAGATTAGTTCAGTAGGGGCCAACTTTTTGGCAGGCCCTGCACCCTTCCCAAATGCCACTCTGATCCCCTTCCCCTGCCTGATCTGCTTCCTTTCTGCTTCCAGTCCTGTGCTCCTTGCCTGATCTTCTCTACTTCCTTCCCTGTGCTTCCTGCTGGATCTGCTACTTTGCTTCTGCTCTCTGCCCTGTCCTGCCCTGCCCTGTCCTGCCCTGCTTCCTGCTCCCTCCCCAATCTGCTGCGTGTCACACACAGAGGCTGCAATGCCACTTGTGCCACACATTGGCCACCCCTGGATTAGTTCATGACTATACCTACAGTGGCTTCTGGCCAGCTTCTCTGCTGGTGTTACCTGCAGGGGAGTGGACATAGAGTACAGGGAATGGGAAACATTGTTCTGAACAACAACAATTGAGTCTCTTTTTTGAACCAGTGAAAGTCCCGCTTTAAGGGAAAATAAACAGCAGAGAGCAGCTATTTATTAGTCTTAGTGGAAACAATTATGTGAGGATTTTGTCTCCAGCTTGAATGTATGGGTCACTTCAAGAGAAGACTGCTGTGAGCATTTACATACAGTTTTTCATGGAGCTGTTCAGGTACCACACTGATACCATGGAGCAAATACTTATACAGAAGGATACACAGCTGTCACTGCCCAATAGGAAATGCAGATTGCAATTAGAATGAAGGTGATAATTGGGTAGAATAGTGCAGATGTTATGTAGCCAACAGCCCTATAAAGAAAACAAAATAGGTTTGAAAACTAAAACAATAAAACAAAATCACGTTTTTATTAGCAATTGCTTGTTTACGTATCCCCCTACTGATATCCGTAGTTTTACCTTGGGCTGGAATCCCTGAATGCTGGCAACAGCACTTTCTTACTGCCTGCCTCCTTTCTCCTTCTCCATTTTTGCTTTCTTTTCACTGGCAGAAGCATAATTTTATTTTTCCATCATTTAATTCCCTATCTCAGTCCTACAGCTCTTGCTGCTCCTAGCCCTTAACTTCCCCCTGCTACTTCCCTCCTTCATCTTTCCTCTGTTCCTCCTGTTGCCCCAGGGGAGAACAAGAAATAATGGGCACAAACTGACTGAAGATCACTTTAGACTAGACATAAGGAAAAACTTCTTTACAAGTCGAGTACCGAGGGTTTGGTCAGGCTTCCCGCACAGGTGGTGTAAGGTCACTTCCAGCCCCTAGCATCTATGAAACTATGAACAAGGCTCTGGCAAATGGGCTAAGTTGTCATGTGACACAAAAAGGTAAATAGCAAACTTCCAATAGCTTTCTCACACTGCCAACTATAGGTAGGTCTAAAGACACAGTATGTGCACTATGGGACACACAGAAGTGCATGACCTTATGCTATTTATCAAATAATCATCACAAATCAATATTTTTCAATACTCTGATTGGCCTTCTAGCTAATACTGATGTCACAGATGCTTTACTTTAAGAAACGGATTGTTAATTGTCCCAAGAACGGATTCTAAGTAGATTATCATTATTATAAATTGCAATTTTATTGAAAGAATCGTTCAACTCTACTGAAAAATATCACTTGATTCCCTGTCATTAGCAACCTATTTTCCATCATCCTGCATACAGGGCATGGTCTGTTAAGTTTATAGTAATTACACTGTTTCGCCTCATGCATTATGCATGAGTGTAAAAATATCACCCTCAAGTGACCTTTCAATGTAGCTGAAAACCTAGAAAATATTATTACCTCCCAGCAGGAAGTTTATGAAATTTCTGAAGTGTTTCTATCTGTCATTTTTTTTTTTGAATAAAAGTGTTTTAGTGTATAAAGTGTTCCTGAATGATAATGAACAGGAACCAAAGGGCAGAGTCTAGTGCTTCCAGAATCAACTGCAATTTCCTGTGTGCTTTCCTGTATAGAAAGGAAGATGAGGACTTGCTTGATTATGAAACTTCAGTGTTTCTTAAATCCATTAAAAACATTCCGAATCCTGACACCTGGGCAGCTATGATGCCAAGGAAAGTAAAAGAAAAATGAGGGCAGGAAGGAAAGGCACAGACTCCCATTTGTGTGTGATGAATTTGGTAGCAACTATCTACTAACTCTCCATACTGAATTCTGTTCTTGGTTAATTCATCACATAGGGAAGATCAAAGAAAATCCCACACAGCAATCATGTGTTACTATTAGAGCAGGCATCAAACTATGCTAGGGTGCACACTGGTTCCCGCTCTGTGGGTGCATCTACACATGCAATTAGCATGTAGCAATAAACTCCAGTGTCGTTTGCACCAGAGTTTATTGTTCCCAGGTGCTGAATTTACATGTGCACCTGGGCACAGCATGTTGAGTCAGGGCAGTGCTACCCCAGCTAGCAGGAGGCCCAGGGGGTCAGCCTGCCAGCACGGAGCTTCTGTGGCCTGTGGAGAGGCTGGCTGGGGCACAAGGGTGCTACAGTGCAGGGCTAGCCAGCAGGCAGCTCCCACACTGTAGCATCCTCATGCCCCAGCCAGGGTGGTCACCACCCTGGTCACCATCTACACATGCATTTCAGCACACTAAATAACTCTGCTGTAGTTGTCCCAGACATGTTAATTTACTGTAGGGTGCATAGTAAATTTACTATGCCCTAATTAATTTACTGTGCCCTAATAGGGGTGCACATGTAGACAGTGATACTTTACTGTGGAGCTAATTAGTCGACTCGGTAGTAAAGCACACATGTAGATGCACCCTGTTCCTACCAAATGCTGAAAATGTGCCAGCTAGCTGTTTTATTGTGTTCCCCCATGGTGCTCCTTGCACTGTGTTAAGGTGACTAGATGACAGGGGGTTTTTTTGCTTTTTTGATCTGCACAGAGTAGGAGCTAATGTGGGGTAAATTCAGAGCTGTGCTCGCTAGCAGGGTCTGACATAGTATAGACATGAGCAGGTAGAAGTTTTGATCTCTGTACTGCTGAACATAGAGTAACAGACCAAGGAGCTCTGCTCTTACTTTATCCACATAATAAATATAATCAATGGGGATTGCACACCTGATATGAGGGTAAAATTTGATATTTTACTAGCTACTGAGTTTACCTGGGTTAGTCAGAGTGAATCTATGCCTCCCACATGAATCCTAGCAGTGCTATCTTGGCTCAAAGATGTGCTCAAACCTCACAGTAGCAAGGTAAACTTGCTACTTTTTTACCATCCTCACTTTTAAAAGGAGCCATTTAAAAATGTTAACTACTATTTCCTTTGCATAATCAGATTTTCTAGAGTGGGGTTTTCAAAAATGCATAACTTAGATACTATTGAAACTTAGATACTATCCCTTTGGTAGCTGTCATTAAGAATGAATCCTTTTTATAATGGCCTTGATCATTCAAGTTCTTGTGCAGTATGTACATCAAATCTATTGTTCCCTTGGCAATTATGAAAGGAAGCTAAAGGCTGGTACAAGCAAGGTTGAGGACTAAATTCAGCCTTCTGTGTTCAATGAGAGTATGTTTCAAAACTCTCAAGCATCTTCTGCCTTATAGATAGAAAGCAGAAAACAGGTACATGTGAGGACATGTGGATCCAAGTGCACTCCAAGTCATACAATAATGTTCCTCATTCTCCATTCCCTTGTTTAGCCC